CCCCAAAACCCCAAAACCCCAAAACCCCAAAACCCCAAAACCCCAGCCTTGATTATAACAATTGGAATTATTTGTGTAATATGTTAGCACCTCGAGATTATGAGAAGATTACTTTAAACAAGGAAAAAACCTTATTTAACAACGCTAATTTCATCATGAAAAATACAAGGTTAATGCTCTTCATTATCGCTGAAGAGCAAGTAGGTTACGATAAGAAATTGGTGCTCTCATATGGTACTTTAAGCATAATATTTAGACAACTCCCTTCTTTGGATCAGACTTGCTATGGGAGTAACTACATTGCCTCCAGCCCATAATGCCAGATTGCTTATTGAAACTAAGAAATTATGAAAAAGTCAGCATGAGATTAAGTTTCTTACAAGCGCGAGTTTTCCAGAGTCAACAATTCTTAATATTGAAAACTCCAAATGAGAAGATCCAAAGTTCACCAGTATTTTTAACCCTATGATGAAGATATGCTCAAAGCAATTACAGAATGCTTCATTCTCTTTCTTTACGATCCCTGGAAGAAAATTCAACAGGCTCTTTATCAGTTGACTCAACTCATTAAAAATAATGTTCTCTGAATGTCATATAGGTTATAAAGAGATAAATATCCCAAGCACAATCCAGTCTAGAGCTCAGAATATTGTTTTCCGTAATTGTTGTAACCTTGAGAAATCATGGTTGGCTTATGAAACTCCTGAAGTCCACAACATTCTTAAATTTATCACTTCTAAACCCATAGAGAAATACCTTAAAACCGTAAAAATCTCCCTAAACATCACACCAAACCAGACAAAAAAGTTCCATACATCCCACCCAAATATCTCCACCATCTCTATCACCCCAAACTCTGACCCCATACACTACCTCACCTACCCAAGACCCGAGACCACCCAAATTCTGACCCTAACCTACACCTAACCTCTCTTCCCTAACTTTCAACCTTACCCCCACTCATAGGGGTTTTGGGGTTTTGGGGTTTTGGGGTTTTGGGGTTTTGGGG